ATTCTTGGTGCTTGGGGGGGGGGCAAGAGTGGGAGGGCTTCTAGTGTCCTGGCCCCGCTGCTGGACCTCCTGACGGCCCCTGGTCTTTTTGGCCACTGTGTGACACAGAGTGTTGGACTGGATGGGCCATTGGCCTGATCCAACACTGGCTTCTCTTACGTTCTTATGTCTTGGGCAAGGGATGCTCTGTCTTCTTGGTGCTTGGGGGGGGGCAACAGTGGGAGGGCTTCTAGTGTCCTGGCCCCACTGGTGGACCTCCTGATGGCACTTGATGGCCACGCCCCTCCCCCGCGACACGCAAATAGAATTCTGGCACCAGCCCAGGCTGACCCCTAGGAGGTGCTTGGGGGGCAATGCCAGGGGACTGAGCAAGCAGAGGGCGGCCACCAGAGCAGGGCATGAAAAGACACCTCCCCCCCCCACCCCGGCTCACCTGTCTTGGCATTCTTCACAGCCAGTTTGTTGGACACCGTGACGGAGATCTTCGAAGCGCTGCTGTCCGGCCTCCGGACGGGAGTGGAAGGCGGGGAGTCTCGGCTGAGGCTGTTGGCGATCATCCTGCTGGCGGCTGCAGGGAGGGCGAGCAGCGGGGCCGGGTGGAGGAGCTACTCCCACAGACACAATGGCCCCCACGCCCACACCCTGAACGGAGGAAGGGGCACGCGAGGGAGGATCCAGCCCACCCCCACCCAGCAGCCCCCACTGCAGGCACGTGCCCCGGCAGTGCCATCCCTGGGGCCACACTGACGCTTACCGCTGGCGGCGTTCCTGCGGAGCTCGGGCTGCACGGTGGCTTGACTGGAGGCGACCGACTCCGTGGCTGCCTTGCACATTTCCTAGAGACAGAGAAGGCCAGGGCACAGGGGTCATGGGCATGGATGAGGGTGAAGCAGCAGAGGAGGAGAGCTGGCAAGTGCCTGTGACAGCAGTCTTCACTCCTGGCCCAGATAAGAAGGGAGAACTGCACGCTGGAAGTCCTCCTGACCTAGGTTCCCTTCAAGCTGCGCCAGGCTGTGCTGGCACACCATTTTTCCCCCGGCCAGCGCAGCAATTCTTACCACAGCGCAGAGGCGGGAAGTTCCCTTCCCAATGGCCATGCAGCACGGATCCATTTGCTCAGGCAGCACAGAAACACAGCAGTATGCTTTGTGTTTCCTAATCTGGGCTGGCCCCGCCTCCCCTCAGCTGGGGTTTGCTTGCCCTGTGAAAGGGGGCGCTGCCACCCTCCCTGGCAGTCCTCTGCCTCGTGCTCCTGGAGATACCCTGGCCCAGAAGGAGGACTGCTCTGTTGCCCAGTTTCTGCCCTGCCTGAGGTGAGCTGCCTGGTTATTTGTTTTGTCTTGGGGTGGGGAGCTGGCCGCAGCAGCGGGCTAGAGGCGATCTGGTGTGTTCTGGTGCTTTGCAAAGTGACTCTCTGTGTCCTTAAGCCTGGGAGGTTAAGTACTGCCAATATGTTCCATATAAATATAAATAAGTTTAATATAAATATATGGCTTGTTATACAAATGATGATGAAGATGAAGAAGAAGAAGAGATTGGATTTATACCCCGCCCTTCATTACCCAAAGGAGTCTCAGCGCGGCTTACACACTCCTTTCCCTTCCCCTCCCCACAACAGACACCCTGTGAGGTGGGTGGGGCTGCGAGAGCTCTGACAGAAACTGCCCTTTTTCAAGGACAGCTGTGCCAGAGCTTGTGACTGACCCAAGGTCACATCAGCAGGTGCAAGTGGAGGAGTGGGGGAATCAAACCCGGTTCTCCCAGATTAGAGTCCGCGCACTTAACTACTACACCAAACATAGTTTATATGTTGTTTGTATGTTTGTACACTTTTTTTAATGTCAGCCCGCTCAGTTTTAACGCTAGGACCACTTTTGGCTCACAAGGCAAAATTTCTGCTCACGAGACTGCATACCTTAGAGGGAACATTGCTACTGACTCACCCCCCGTCCATGACTCATTTAAGGGAGTGACTGCGGCAAAACTTAGCAACCAGGCGAAGAGAGGCCAGGCTAGAAGGGAGACGCTCAGCCAGCCCAGAGTTCTACACTTGATCTTAGCCAAAAGGCCGAAAAGCGATAACCAGCCCAGAGTTCTAACAGGAGCCTGGCCGATCGTGCAGCTGGCTAATCGGTAGCAGCATTTAACTCCACACTCTGGGCAGTACTCTTCGTGGAAGCAAAAAGTCAGCTTCATGCTGCTTGCATTCACTCCGGCTCGGCTCTTGCACCTAGACCTTTCCCCCCCACCCCGGCTTTGGACTTGGCTCTGTGTTCCTGACTCCTGACCCCGGCTTGGCTTTGGACTACATTTCTGGTTAGTGATTTGGACTTGGCTCTGTGTTTTTGGCTCCTGACCCCGGCTTGGCTTTTTGGACTTTGCACTATCTTCTTGGCTCCTGACCTTGGCCTGTTCTGGACTCCCTTTGACTGGCACCCCAGCCCATGACAGCAGGGATCATCCCCCCGGTTCTGGTACTCGAACTCCCACGAAAGCACCAGGCTCCAGCTGACCCTAAACCACCCTGCCCTGAGGTGGTTCTCCAGGCTAGCCTACCAATGCACCAAGCCCCTGAGCCCTTCAGCTTGGGGCAACCCCACCCCAAAAGTCCAGAGGGCCAGGAGTCCAATGGGCAAACTGGCCGCTCCTTTATCAGAAAACAAAAGGAGGGCAACCAGCACACATGAAATGGTACAAAGCACAAAAAAACTGCTAGCTGAAATCACTAAGGTAAACAACAGTAGTGCAGAGAAGTCAAGTCCCAAAAGTTTCAATACAGTGGGACCCAATTCTCAGTAGTAGCACTTACAGAACCAAGTTTATTCAATCACAAAGGATCATGGGTCCCTTTACTTTCCTGCACTACTGTATATAGCCACAGGGCTGGAACTCAAGGACCACGTAGCCCAAACTGCTTCCACTCCTCCAGGACAATTCTGGGGCGGACACAAGGCTTTCAGGAGCCTGGCCAAGCAGGGGTGCTTCCGGAGGCTTCTTTTGCCAGGTGTCGTCCCCCCCCTTCCCCCCCAAGCTAGAGGGATCCATTCGCCTCCTATATGTATGCCTAAAGATCCTGCCCGGAAATCCCACGCTGCACCATTTTTATTTCAAGTATGGAAGGGACAGTGCCACACTTCTCCCAGGAAGTGGCTTCAAGTGTCCAGGAGACCCACCTGCCTATAAACGACTTTGGCATGCTTGAGAATGGCGATGATATCCCCGACCACAGTGACGCCCAGTTCGTTCAGGATCTCCTTGTTCAAGTCCATCAGCATGTTCTTCTGAATCCTGCAGAAGGTGAAAGCCATGTGAGAGAGCCGCTGCACTAAACGCCTTACAGCCCCACGTGTAGTTTGAGCACTGAATGCCACTCAGGCACTCCGAAAGGGCAGGAGAGAGAACCCTTCACTCAGCGTGGTTTACAAACTCCTTTGCTCACAACAGACACCCTGTGAGGTCAGCGGGGCTGAGAGTGCTCTGACAGAAACTGCTCTTTCAAGAACAGCTCTGACGGAACTGTGGCTTGCCCAAGGTCACCCAACTGGCTGCACGTGGAGGAGTGGGGAATCAAACCCCGTTCTCCCAGATTAGAGTCCGCGCACTTAACCACAACAGCAAACTGTCTTCAAACGGGAGTCAGCTTCAGGAAGAGATCTTCCAAAGACTCCGTGCCCCCAAACTCTGGTTTGGACTTCTGAGCACGTTATCCCAAAGTCCTATAAAAACAGATCCACCAGGAGACCCAAACCACAGCACTACCTTCAAGTGGACTTCCATTTAGGTAGTCTAAATTAAGTTCCCTGCAGAAGACCTCCCATGGCTCTGCAAGAGAAATCCTGACCCCGTCTGAAAGAGGGCATTCCATACTTCGAGAGTGAGCGCGTTGCTTTAAATAGACACTTGGCCTTCTTATTGTTAGGCTTTGTGCTTGACAGCGCTGAAAGCCCGGGGTGCTGCGCTGTACAGTTATAAATAGAGACATGACTCCAGCCTGCCCCTAGGCTTCCACCCAGGCCAGCTGTCTGCTCCAGACACGCGCCCTGCATACCAGTGCTCCCTCTAAGCTGAGTTAGTGTGAGCTAGCTCACAGTTTTTTAGCCTCCGGCTCACACGTTTTTGACTTCGCTCAGGCAGGATGGCTCCAGAGCCAACTGATTTATGCAGTAGCCAAATCGCTCGCTCACACCTTTGATGCCAGCAGCAGCCCACAAAGTGGAATTTCTGCTCACACGACTCCACAGCTTAGAGGGAGCACTGAACCAGGGCAAACCACCTCTGTTCATCTCTGGCCGTGACGACCCCACATAACCGGGATCCCAGCCAGTGTTCCCTCTAAGCTGAGTGAGTGTGAGCCAGCTCACAGCTTTTTGGCTCCCGGCTCACACATTTTTGTCCTCGCTCAGGAAGGAGGGCTCCGGAGTAAACTGATCTATGCAGCAGCCCAATCGCTCGCTCTCATCTTTGATGCCAGGAGCTCACATAGTGGAATTTCTGCTCCACGGCTTAGAGGGAGGCATCGCCCTAGAGAGGGAGTGTGTGTGTGTGTGTGCACGCGGGGGGGTGTGTGTGTGTCTGTGTGGGGCCTCCTTCTCCCCCTCGCCGGCGCTGACCTGTTGTCCACGAACATGACGGCGTAGTTGACGGCGGGCCCGGGGGGGATGCCGGCCTCCTTGAAGAACTGGATCCACTCCGAGGTGGCTGCGGGGGGAGAAAAAACAACACAAGGGGTTAGTACCGCGCGTGGCCGAGGGGGAGCGCGCGCAGGGGAGCCCGGCCCGGGGGGGGGGGACGGCACCCCCACCCCCCCCACTCACCCATCGTGACGGACACCATGGCGGCCCCGGAGGAGGAGGCGGCGGCGGGAGAGAGGGGGCGAAGGCGGCGGCGGCGGAGGGGGGCGCGGCCTGTCCCGGGCTGCGGAGGTCGCAGCGCTCTCTCCTCCTCCTCTTCCTCCCCCAGACCCCTCCACGGCAGCCGCGGGGCTCCAGCAGGCCGCGCCGGAAGTGGAGGGCGCCCCGGCTCGGCGCACTTCCGGTTTTGCGCGGCCCACTCTAGCGCCGGCGACCATAGAGGCCGGGAGGACCGCCGCCCACGTGTCCGCGTCCCGCCGCCCGCCCTTTCCCCTCTGCTGCAGCCAGGCCGGGGCAGATTACCCATGAAGCCGAGAGCGACTGAGCACGTGCTTAGGGCACCAGGGCCAAAGGGGGCACCCCAAAGTTGGGGGAAGGGTGAAAAGAAAAAACGAATGGAGATTTGTAAAAAATAAAAATTGATAAAACTAGTGCACGTTGATCACGGTGCCACCCCTAGGGTTATCTTCTGTTTTTTGTTGGCCAGGTGCAGTGTCATAGGCTATGAGACCCAAGATTGGGGGCACCAAGACCGGTCAGTGCTTAGGGCACCAGTGAGCCTTAATCCGCCCCTGGCTGCAGCCCCTCGGGCCGGGGGTGGGCAGAAGCGCGTGCACGGGCTTCACATGCACGGCTCTCCTCCTCGGCCGCCAGACCCTCTTCTTCCCCTGGGTTGCTAACTTTGGGTTGGGGAATTCCTGGGGAGGGATTTGAGAGTGATTGGAACCCAGTGCTCCCTCTAAGCTGTGGAGTCTTGTGAGCAGAAATCCCACTTTGTGAGCTACTACTGGGAGCGAGCCATTCCGCTGCTGCATAGATCAGTTTGCTCTGGAGCCCTCCTTCCTGAGCTAAGCCAAAAATCTGTGAGCCGGAGGCTAAAAATCTGTGAGCAAGCTCACACTAACTCAGCTTAGAGGGAACACTGCTCTGGAGCCCTCCTTCCTGAGCTAAGACAGAAATGTGCGAGCTGGAGGCTAAAAAATGGTGAGCTAGCTCACACTAACTCAGCTTAGAGGGGACACAAACCTGGGGGGGGGTCACTGCGGGACATATTGAACAAGTCTGAGTCCAGTGGCACACACCTTTAAGACCAACAATGTCTTTCGTCTGATAGATGTGTGCTTTGCACACAAAAGCTTACACTTCAAATAAAACTTTCTTGGTCTTAAAGGTGCGTGCCACTGGACTCAGACGTTGTTCTGCTGCTTCAGAGCGGCATGGCTACCCACCTGAATTTTTCAGCAGGCTATCCTGCCACAGGTCCTGCCCATCCAGACCGGCCATTTTCTCCAGTGGTGCTGACTTCTGTAGTCTGCAGATCGGTTCTAATTTCTGGGATTTCTCCAGGTCCCACCTGGAGGTTGTGGCAACCCTACAGCCTCTGCTCCTTGAACGCAGAGAAGGCAGGCCCGTAGCCAGGATTTTGTGGCTTGTGGGGCAAGTGTTTTTCTGGTGGGGCTGAAAGAAAAGCCCTTTAGCCAACAGAAAGCTGTGACCAGGATAGATCTCTAAATTGCAAGCTGTCAGAGTATTTATTTATACTTTCGATTTATTGATCTCTCTTTCCTACACACCTGCGGGCTCAGAGCGATTTACAGTAACTCTTTGACAATTGGACTAACAATATTCGTGGGGGATAGGGAAGACAAACATACAGCATTTTTAATTACACACACATTGCAGCTAGCCGGGGCTTCGTCTGCGGGCTGGATCAGTCGTGTTCCGTGTATTCTTGTTGGCTGGCTGATGACGTCAGGGCTTCTTGATGTTGTGCTGCCACGTGGCCACCACTTTAGATGACAGTTCTCAGCTGCTGCAAGTTAATCACTTCTGCCAGCCTAAGCAACAATTCAGATAAAAAGCCAGCAGGCGGGGGTGATGCCTTCTATAGTCAAGAAAACTAAGACTTGGGCAGAAAGACTCTCTTAAAGGAGACCGGTTTCTTGACACAGAGTTAGAAGGGATCCTAGAGGTCACCCACTCCAACCCCCTTGCTCAGTGCGGGAATCAGTCAAAGACAGCACCCCACTCTGCTTAAAGGAGAACACACCTTTAAAAATGTTTTTAAATGATTGAAAAAAAGCATTTACAGGAGAAATTCTTGTGGGGCTGTGCTTTTAAGGAAGGGGGCAGAGCCCCCCAAAGTCCCACCATAGCTATGGGCCTGAGAGAAGGCCACCACGGTGGTGAGTGACAGGCCCACTCACCACCAGTCTCACTTGCCAGAGGTCGTGGGCCACGGGCCCAAGCCAAGCAGGCAGAACGTGTGGCTCCCTGCTGCCGACTGAGGGAGGGGCTGTGGCCCCGGGAGGGGGGAAAGGACCTCCTTCTTCAAAGGCCGAAGATCTCAGGCTCAGTCCCTGGCAGGCATCGCCAGTGGAAAGGACCAAGCAGCAGGGGATGTGAAAGACCCTTTTCTGCCTGAGGCCCCGGCAAGACGCTCCCGGTCTCTGTAGACAATACTGACCTTCCCCGGACCGAGGAGAGCCAGTTTGGTGTAGTGGTTAAGTGCGCGGACTCTAATCTGGGGAAACCGGGTTTTGATTCCCCATTCCTCCTCCACATGCAGCTGCTGGTGTGGCCTTGGGTCAGTCACAAGTTCTCTCAGAGCTGTTCTCTCAAGGGCAGTCCTCGAGAGAGCTCTCTCAGCCCTGCCTACCTCACAGGGTGTCTGTTGTGGGGATGGGAAGGAAAGGAGATTGTAAGCCGCTCGGAGACTCCTGCGGGTAGTGAGGGGTGGAGTATAAATCCAATCGCTTCTTCTTCTGATTCAGGACAAGGCAGCTGCCTGTGTCGATCTCCTGTTTAGGGAGGGACCGTGGCTCAGTGGAAGAGCGAGAGCCCCTGGCTTGGCATGCAGAACATCCCAGGTTCAATGCGCAGCTAAAAGGGTCAGGTAGTCGGTAACTTGAAAAACCTCTTCCTGAGACCCTGGAGAGTTGCTGCCAGTCTGAGCAGACAATGCTGACCTCGAGGCACCACTGATACAACTCGGTAAAAATCAGCTCTCTCTGTGTGTGTGTGCGCGCACACATTTGTATATCTCGGCAGCTGTCGGTATTGTTGACCAGCCTGCGCTCCCCAGTTCTGGAGCACTTCGCAGGGCTGGAACTGGCAGTGCTGCACGCCGGTGGTTCCACTCCAGGGGCCAGTGGAAAGCTCCCATGGAGCCGTTATCCTGGGCCTGCCGGCAGCCAGGAACAAACGTGGCCATGCCGCCGCCCCC